TATGCATTATTTCGGTTTTTTTCATATGCATTATTTCGTATGCACAGTTTCCATATGCACAATTTCAGGGTGCCCAGCACTTATAGTTGCTAAAAAGTTGGGCGAGGACCTTTATTTTCTCCCGAGTTTGTAGTTTAACATTGCAATAAAGTGTAGCGAAATAACGAGTGATTATTTAACGAAAAGATTTCACTACAACTCAGCAAATACCCGCCGGCAAAGGGCAATGAAAATATTCTCGTGTTAACACACGATATATGTATAGCTGCCGTTAATGGGCATTTATGCACTCCGCGGCGCAAACGTGTTAATAGATTTAAATGAAGCAACAGCAAGTAAAGTGATGTCGCGCGAATGTTACACGGACAGAAAGGCGAATAGACCGAAAAACCTACAGCTGGTCGGTCAAAAGGTGCAGGTACTTTGCAGGCCAACTGGCCACTTACAATCACCGCCGTCTTACTCGTACCAAACTACGTAAGGTTGGAAAATTTTCCCACACATTAGACGAGTTAGTCAGTGCATGCTTGAATGAGCCGCAGGGGAGAGCAGCATACTAATGTGCAAACGCTGTATTTAAATACCGACGCTGTGCAGTAATTGCCACTCATTGCAGGTGTCTGTTGTTTTAAGCGCTGTTGTGCTGCAGATTCATGCTTCAAATAGCTAAGTTTTGGTACGCAAAAGAGTTGGGCTTTTTATTTCTGCGTTCTTGGTGTCTTTGCTGCTGGCAGAAGTGTACATTTTATTTTAACGCTTCTTCTCTAAATAAATAAATAAAACAGTTACGAATATAAGGGTAGTATGCCGACAAGCAAAACTATCCGAAAGCAAAGAATGTCCCGCGAAATGCGTATGAATGAACAAGCTACAATAACAACAGCCATTGCAGCAATCAGCCAACCAACTTCGCTACCAACAACGCTTTTGCCGCCGCCATTGGCATATGCATGGCCACCGGCTGTTTGGTTTTGTTCCGTGACCACCAACGGCCTGAAAAAACTTCCAAAGTAAGCGTAAGAAAAATAAAAGAAATAAAAAGAAAAAAATTAAAAGAACACCAAGACCCAGCACCGCGTATATAAACTGTAAAGCGCTAAAGAGGTGGGACAAAATAAGAGCCCGTGTATTGAGTGTGGAAACCGACTAACAACCACAGCAATAATCGAAATCAGCGCAGGTAACATAGTAATAACAATAAAAAAACAGTAGTAATTTACGCGGCCTACGAACATGGCATGAATGATCGGTGAACGCGTATTCATACATAGCTGTCGCCGCTGGCAGTGAACACTTTGTCCACATAGAAAAGAACTTACAACTACAAACAGCGGCGCTGGTGCGAAAGCTCGGATCCAAACCACCACATGATGGCTTTGTCGCACTTTGTTGGTGGAGAGCAGCGGTTACTGAATCGACCACCGATCGATCCAGCAAGTGCCCAATCTCACGCGGTGGCATTTGAGCGGCTTTACTACGGATTCCTTTTGATTGTTGGCGGTGTTGATGATAACAACCGTAAACGGACGCGCAAACTGGCAGTAGCAGTAGCCGCATCACCTCACCACCACCTGAATGCTTGAATTGGCTGCATTTTTTTATTTTTTTGGTTTGCTGGTCGTTTGGTTACGTTTAATGCGATTTTCGGCTTCGCGCTTACGCCACTTAAAATGCTGTGAAACTGACTGACTGCTGCCGCGTTTCATTCGTCTTGCATGCCGACGACTTCTTTCATGACGACCGCCTGTGCTGATTTTTGAGACTCGCTGCCGCTAGCCGCGTTGAGGCTATGCGCGAAAAAATTGTCGTTTTTTCGGCTTAAAAATTCCAATGAGATTTCAATGATTCGCAAAAATTTAAGAAATCCGAAGTGGAAGGAGAAACGCAATTTCGTGTATCTCGTTATGCAGCTTGTAAATGCGGAAATTTTTAACATTTCGCGGCACAATTGCATTAATGCGTTGAGTTTTGAGGAATTTTCCATTGTACAGCGGAAAAGTGCAAACAATGATGTGTGGTGTTTAAAACTAAAAAATCAGCAATTTCCTCATGGCAGACAGTCCAAGGCAGCTGGCAGCAATGCTTGGAAAATATGTTTGCTCTCAAACCCGTGCCGCCAACATTGCTATAATTTTTATTTTAAGTGATATAAGCCCTCTTGCACAATTAGCAACTGGAAACAGAGCATAAGTGCTGGAATCGCCACTGCTGTTAAAGAAGGAAGTGGAAATCCATTAAATAATGTGATTACCTCTAATGAAGTAATCTTGTAACTCATTAAAAGAAATATTCTAATTTTGCCATGGATTTCATTTCGTTGTCTGCTCTTCAGCACGCACAACGTCAGCAACAAATTGCTAATTAAGAACTTCAGTAAACGGCGCTAAAGGCAACACCGCTGTAATTATCATACGCAGTCAGTCATCAGCCACAGCTCATTCACAATTAATGTGTATTCGTCGTCATCATACGTTTATTCATTCAATCGAGACTTAAATAATATTAGCGTCATTATTCGATTAGACAAGCACGCCTGCGAGGCCATACACAAACTCAACGAATGTCAAATTTATAAACGTCAGCATGGTTGGGGAAATGAATAT